CTATTTCAAACGCGCGCCCGCGCAGCAATTAACATGCGCTGGGGGAATGGAGTTCGCTCGTTTTTAAAGGATTGCGTGTTCTTAGACACCAACATTCAGGTCATAGGTAACGCAGCTGCCATTATAGATATCAATGCTCGACATCATGAGGAATTTGAAGGATTATATAGATATATATATATATTATATAGATATATAGATATAGATATACATAGATAGGTTATATAGATATATAGATATCAGTGCTCGACATCATGAGGAATTTGAAGGGTTGACAGATACCTTCAGCTGCTTTAGGAGATGAGTTTACAAATATCTAGGAGCAGTGCTTAATGAAATAATAAACTGCGGTTTTCGTACGAAACGTAGCGCATGCACTCCTCGCGCCTTTAATTGCAGCCTAGGGCCAAGCGAAGGCGAACCAACAGTAAAAGGTCAAGGAATAAGTAACTATTGCCGGAATTACGGGTACAAGTATATCTGCTCTTTCTTCCGAGTCCAACAGTATTAGTATTAACAAGATGAGCAACAAATCCAGGTATCGGTTTGATTCAGCACGTTGCCCATGCAGACTGGTACGATTGGTTTTCCCGTGTCTTCCGTGGATACGACTACGTAGGTTTGTTTTAAATGTTACTGCTAACAGCTGTCCCATGAACAATTGCATAATTATGACTGATGACCAAAAACACCGGTGAAAGCTCTCTGCAACGTTTAAAGTATAAAACACCTAGCCTGCCGCAGCTTCGACACTTTTTTATCGCAAAACGGGTTCCGAAATTTTCTCAGCTTCGGCTTCGCCTTATTCAGCTTCTCAACGTCTACGGTAGCTATGTATATTATACAGAATCAGCTTGGAATTCCCATATTGCGCATAAAGACGTGGGTCACAGTTTTGATAATCCTGCAAAATCTGCGGAATAATTCCGGTAATTATTTATAGTACGCCAATGAAAAAATCAACCTAGTCGACTGTACGAACCAACTAGGCACACAATTAATTAGCGCGAAAACCACGTTATCTTTGCACAAAAATCGCAAAATATTGCTATAGTGCTGCACCATTCAGCAGTTGTTCACTGTCCTGACAGGTGATATAAAGGTGGAAGCCACGGGCAGCCACAGGTCTCTATCTGTACTGAACATCGTTGCTGTACCAATGGCAACCGCAAACAGTGAGGACATTAAGGCTTCGTTTATGAAACAAAAACGAGGACCAGTGCGGTGATCAAAGGTAAAACCGAAATCTCGACGTCTGAGCTACGAAATATCATAATGCATAATATTCTCTTGGTTTACGACGTCAGACCGCACAAAAAAAAGGAGGCGAAGTCGCAGACTTTTGTAAAATTATTACTGCACCATAACTTTTGTCAACCGGCATTTTTTCCTTTTGCCCTTTTGCACATGGTGCTCGGTTAGTAAAAGCTTATCAAGTTGACACATAATTATTATCACGCGTCGTATTAACCCAGGAAAACCGGGTACTAGAAGGGATTGGACTACAGTTTCGAAAATTGGCAGTCTGGGACAGAAAAATCTAATTAAGAGAAAAATAATTTTTTCAAATTTTTAGCGACCATAGGTCAAGCAGGAGATGACCATGTCGGACTGACACGCATGGTAACCATGTTGCACCGACATGTTATTCATTGCCGTTTATAACAGCTGACAGAAAAATCGCACAGAATGTGCCAATAGCTCAAACGATAGATCTCGACGAGTACTTGAACGCGGATGCATTGTGATGGTCATCAAGATGACCAGTGGTCAAAGAAAATTTAAAAACGAAGAACCACTCATATATAGCAGTGCATAAGTAGAGCTTCGACAATTCGCAACAGTTGGTCACTTCCGCCCTACGTTTTGGACAGTTGGTCATCGGCTTTGTTGTGGATCAAAATTCGAATGATGTACACATTTGAAGTAATACTATATCCGGTTGCGCAACTGAATGAGATAGCTGAGATAAAGAGGAGGAATTCTGGCTAGCATGGTTACCATCGTTATGGACCGGTGACCATTCTTCCCAGTGTCGTACAAGTGACCAGTTGCTGCGAAATATGGAAGTATCCGCCGTAAGTGCCGCAAAAAAGGTTCAGTAACGTTGTGCCAAACAACCCTATTACTTACTGTACAGGAGAACAACTAATTTTTTAAGCATTAATTAGCCAAAATGTGTGAGGGAATGCATGTACTTTGCATTCTCTTAGACGCCGCCGCTGCTAGTTAGTACCTAGACGTTGTGTATACACAGCAACGCATTGTAGAATACTCCCTTTTGATATAGTAAACGTTCTGCACAGATCAGTGCTAAAGGTTACGAGCGCCCGTGGACCGGAAAGTTCGAATGGCGCCTGTTTAATGCAAGGGCAGAAGTTTCATTATCAAAGTATCTATGCAAAATCAGTAACTTCCGCAGGTTTATTAACTAGTTAGTGCAGTTGAAAACGTGAAACGTGGAAAGAATAAGTTATAAGAACTGGAATGGGACAGTGAATTAGCCGGGTTGCCGAATACCATCCGTATATGGTAATAATAGCGTTCAAAGCACCTTGAGAAGCATCGGGCATCTTCCGAGCATTATCGTGACTTCAACGCTATTAAGAGGGCTGTTATAAAATTCGTTAACATTCAATTCACACTGATTTTAGAAGCGCTCAGTCAACAACTACATTTTTCGTATTTCCGGTCAGTATTGACCAGTGGTCACCTTGCTGACCACTATGCTCAGGCCATTATTTAGAGGTTTTTATGACCTCTATTTTGATTATTTGTGCTACCGTGTACGATTTTTCTATCAATTGATATGCATTTTTGAAGATTATAAATAAATTAGTACCATGCCCAACCGTGTCGAATTCGACATGGTATTTTCATTTGACCAGAACTGACCAGCGGGCGCTTTTTCTCTGAACTTTGTTTCGCACTTCCATAAAGCTTGACAGTAACTTCCTTTCTAATTTTTGTGGTAATTATCTGACGCTAACGTGAGTGTAGAGACAAGCAGGACCTCCGGGAGCCCAGTTTGGTCAATTTTGACCATGTTTGGTCACCCCCCAGACTTCACGGACATGGTGCAGCTAACTGTTACATAGTTTAAACTTAGTCTAACATCTCCCCTTTGAAATAAAACTATTTAAAGCAACCTGTGACCACAACAACGGACGGTAGAGAAGAAGTCCGCCACCATGTCGGTCTAACACGCATGGTGTGGAACGGGTTAACTGTACGAATATGTAAAGGTATATTAATCGAATACTATCTCCAAGAGAAACAGTTAAAAAGCCGCTAATGTGCGCATAACGCCACATAGTAATACAGCAATCATGAGCCACGTTCTTACGAAAAGCTCGTAATGGTTGTAGAGTTGAGTTAATAAAAGCGCATTATAAGCTTGATGGTTTTAGGCATCAGCTGCATCGCCACAAAGTAGATTGCTATAAAGGTGCGAAGGGCATCGGCGTGAATAACTGTTAGCGCGCAAATAATTGCTATGTAACAGTTAAACGTTCCCTGTGTCACGAGTCGAAATGGTGCCGTACCATTTCCGCTGTTCCCATAATAAGTACAAGAAACAGCCTCGGCTTCGCCTCCGCGTGTCTTGTGGTCCATAGCCCTTTTGTTTGAAGTTGAATGAATATTTATTAGAATAACATCTATATTTCGTCGAAACATGATCGGTAAATGCAATTGGGCAAACACGAATTTTGTATGAAAACCAGTTCATGATTCTCTCAACCTTGAAAGCATTCCCTTTGGCTGTACATACAGATAATTTTTATGATACTACTATCTACTACCCAAAAAGAAAGCCGAAATATCAGTCTATGATGTATGAAATTCGAAACAGTGATAGTGCACTGGATCACTAGTTCGGTGACTCGTCACTTCACTGGCTCTTTTCACTGGAAAGTGGTGGATGCCCGGTAGTGTGTGTCCGGTCAGCAGTGGTACCTCGATTACTTGCTTATCTGACCGGTTCTGTTCGCCGGACAGTTGTGGTCGCTCGGTCGCCTGCTCACCTAACGCCTAACGGACTCGGTGCACTCGAAAGTAGTAGTGGTAGCTCGTTTACTTAACGGGTTTCCTGCACCAGCAGTGGTAGTTCGGTCACTCATATACACTGTACAATAATTACAGCTTGATCACTCGTTCACCTACCGGGCTCTGTGCACGGACGGTAGTGGTAGCTCAGTCACTCGTTTCCTAACGGGCTTTGTACACTGGACAGTAGTGGCAGCTCGGTCACCCGCTCACCTACCGGGCTCTGTGCACTCGTTTACCTAGCGGACTCCGCACGGGATAGTAGTGGTAGCTTGGTCACCTCGGCTTCGCCTCCGCATTTCTTGTGGTTTACGGGCGGTCGATTCGAATTTCTGTTTTAATCGTTTTTATTCATCCCTTTTGGCTGTGTCAACTGGACTACAGTGGTAGACTGGTAGTTCGGTCACTCATGTACACTGTACAGTAATGACAGGTCGGTCACCCGCGCACCTACCGGGCTCTGTGCATGGACGGTAGTGGTAGCTCGGTCACCCGCTCACCCATCGGGCTTTGTGCATCGGATAGTGATGACAGCTCGGTCAACCGCTCACATAGCTATCCGTAGTGGTAGTTCGGTCACTCAGTGAACTAACGGGTTTGTGCACTGAACAGTGGCGGTAGTTCGGTCTATCACTGATTGAACAGACAATCACATTAGTGATAGTGTGGCGATAGCTGCTCGGCCGGCACTTGTTTAGAAATTGTCCTCGATGACAATGTTAAATATATAGTCGTTCTTAAATATGTAGTCGTTAAATTTGTAGTCGTCTGCAAATTAAATTAATTCTGATACTTTAATTAGTGGAAAATACTTTCGTTTTTTAACTGTATTTTAGTTTGTTTACGTGGCAACACTACCTGGTTAAAAATACCACGATGATAATTATTATTATAATAATTTAGTTACATTTGGTGAAGGTAGTCAAAACTCTTCCGTTTGGCGTTCGAAGCGGGAGAGGTTTTGAATGAAATGAGTACTATCTGGCCGGGTTTTCGACTACGGGCTTTCAGAATATAATATTATTGGTTTTGGTCAGTCTTTTCTGGTTTGCCGGCTCTGGTGTATCCCATTCGTGGCAATATAGATCTGAATCTGGATAATGTTGTTATGATGAAACAGGCAGAGCTAAGTCTGCAGCCCCGACCATGAGAGCTGCGTCCCGGTTTGCCAATGCGCAGTCTGGTGCAATTATATAGTACAAAGTATAAGAATATAGCGCTAAATGTAACAAGGTTCACCAGTAATGCGCCGTCCCTAGTTGTCGGAATCTGAGCTGTCGCTGTTGCCTTCTTCCTCATCCGAGGATGAATCAGACCAGAACGCCATTTCGCGCCACAAGGCAAGCAGGCACAGTTTGTTCAGCTTTCCGACGTCCATGTTCGCCATATTATACAAAATCCACTTCGAATTCCGGTAAGAAGCGGAGGAACGCGGATCGCAAGTTTGGTAATCCTTCAGAATCTGTAAAATCATTTCGGATAATCGGAATGCCATTAGAAAGAGCTGAATTGCAGAACTCATGCACAGTTTCTCGGAGAGTACTGTAGCCGTGGTATATGTACAGTACATGAGGTACCTTCTTCACAATCGACGCCCTCTCTCGGCTGTTAATCAAATTCGCCAGGCAGTGGGTCAAACGCTGCCTGTCGACCGGCGGATGACACCGATGCCTTTCGTACAGCTCTCTCTTCGGTCCAACACAGCACAGATGCTTCTCAAACACATCCCAAATTTGCGCTTCGTCCACACTGCCTGGATTCATGGCAGCCGTTGGAATACGGAATTCCCAGGAATTATCATTTATGCACTGATAAATCAGGCGGTGTTGCTTCAATATTAAACGGTCACAGCAGGATGCCAGTGTGGAATACAGCGCGGCTGTCTCGGCGAAAAACATTTTCAGCGGCAGTTCGGATAAGTCAATTAACATCTCGCGTTGGTGCAGGATAAATCGGTCGATGCGTATGCCTCCATCGTCCAGGACTTTTCTAATCAAGTTCACAGCTTCGTTGATCTTAATCCAATCTTCGCGGTCCTCGTAGTCAAGACCACATTCCGGATCTTGCAGGCAGATTGTTCGCGTACCGGGCGTGATGTGCTTGAAGAGGCAATTATACCCAATGTATGGATGAATGGCATAATCGTCCTCTGCCTCTATCTGTATGCGCACGAATGTTCTCCACTCGTCTCCCGATGTCAGCACGGCATCCCACAGTTGACAGGTGCGTCGGCAGCGCTGTTGACCGACGGTGTGCAGTGACAGGAAGATCTCCTTCAGGATCTCGACTGGCAATGCTAAACCGCAATCCCCTGCAGTTTGGCGCTTTTTCCGCTTTCGTTCGCTCAGACACGACTTTTCGTTAGGAGAACGTACACATTTCCCATTCTGGCTTTCGAAAAGTTTCGTCTAAAATAAAAAAGAATTGAACAAAGTTTTAGTTAGAGCTTACGCATAATTACGTAGAGCAAACAACACAAATTCAAGAAAAACATTTTGCAAAAATTTTATTCTATATTTTTCTGTAAAACACAGTTTCCGGTTGTTTCTTGCCGGTTCACGCAAAATACAGTATAACTAACGTTCGACAAGAAACGACCCCACGCAGTACCAAAACAACAATGATATTGGGAGGTCAAACCGGTTTCGTAGGGAACCTTACCACATCCGCATCATCCATTGGAGGCTCATTGCACCGCCGCACGTAGTGCAGCTCCTGGCTGAGGACGCGCGTAAAGCGAAGATGAAATTTCTTTTCTACCTTACGGCACAATGCATCTGCTACAAACCGGTCCAACGTCCAGTAACCGTTCGGCACACGACACGTCCGCAAGACGAAGTGTCCTGGTTGCAGACGCTTTTGTTGTTGTTTATCCAGCGAAAGCGGTCGTCGGATCTGTTTTTCGGGAAGCAGTTCGCGCTGACGATAGCCATTGATTTCCACTTCTATCAGCGCTGTCTTTTCCAAGTTGAGGAAGGACTTAATCAAGATCTTGCCCGGATACCATTTCCAGGGACCATTCTTGTGCTCGAATATCAGCACTTCCACCTGCTCTCCCGTGGGCGGGCGTTTCTTGGAGGTAGGGCGCAAAGAGCTGTCGAAGATCGCCCCTTCTTTCACTAGCACTGCATCCTGGGTCGGACAGCCCAAGTCGACGATCAAACGCGGCGTTGTTCCGTCAGTTTCTTCCAGGCCAATGACGTGGCCGTATTGAAGGAGACCGCCAATCTCCACATCCACGGCATTCCAGGCGTACAGAGATCTCTTAACTTTTTGCAGCTCGTACAGATACATTCTGGCTTATTTAGCGTCTGCCTAAGTAATAAGAATATATCAAAAAGAATCTCCCCTGACTGATAGAAGAATGCTGTATCTCTGTGTGGTAATAAAGCACCAATGGATAGTGCACACGCGTACAAGAATTGACTTACTATAGAGGTTTGTATACCGGTACATGTATATGAGTTGGCAACTGGCATGTTCTTCGCATGTTTCGCTGCGGCGGCATAATGCGTCCCGTAACATGAAAATTTTTGGAATTAGATCTCATTAAGCGATACGCATTGAGTGTTACGGTCGGACATTATCAACGGTAGACACGAATTATCGAGATCATCATCTCAAGATTACAAGATAGCACTAACTGATTGCACCGCCGATGTTAGACATGAAATGAGCACACGCAAAGCAAATGCATATGTTATAGCTACCGGTGGCCAGTCGGGGAAAATTTATTATCATGAATACTTCTACTTCTATTATCAACGTACGAGTTACTTGTAGCTCTTGAAATACTAGTACTCTAGGCCAGGTTTTCTTTTCGGCACCGTTGACTATTTCCTGCAACGCATCGCACTTTGCGTCTGTTAAAAACGTGGAAAGGTATTTGTTAAACCAATTCAGTTCAGATGCGTGTTCTTAAAATTTATTCTCGCGAATTTCGGTTTTACTGGCTTTCTCTGGTCCATGGGGTTTCACTGGTCAGTTTTGCACGGTCATGTTTAAACAGTAAACAAATATTACAGTCCATTTAGAGCTAATGCAAAAGTGCCGAACTTGGTTTGCACTTTGCAGGATAATAATTTTCCTGCTGCTAAGCATTCAGTTACTATATTTATCTTGAATAACATAATTGCAAATGCGAATTCGCAAGTAATGTCAGTATTTTTTAACCAATGAACTACTAACCGGCGACCGCGGCCTAATTTTTCATATCGGCTTGATTCGAAATGCTATACGGCATAATTACGATGTTTTTGTTGTGATTGCTGTTTAAGTGTGCGCTGGTACGGCTGAACTTGTGATTTTGGATTATTTGCTTTATTGATTCTTTCTCTGCACTGCAAGTTTTCCGGTCTTCATTTTCAAGAAGTTTTCAAACGAGCTTCCGTTTTATTTAGAACAAGAGACTTATGGGAACCTTACAAGAGACTTACCCACCATCTTACGGGAACTTCAATACACACATGCAAACACTGATTCCAGGAGCGTTGCCGGTTGGGGGATACTACTGTATAGAACCTTCGGCCTTTCTCTGTAGGTTTTAACTTCACGCGGAGACTGCAATCCAGTTACAAGAAATGGAATCCTAAAAAGTATGCGGTCCGTGCATTTGTCGTTGCCGATATAACGTGTTGCGCGTATTGCCTTCTTCTTTCTGGCCTAATCGCTCAGGCATCCTGTTACCCGTCCGTTAACTCAATACGATACGATACCAGGTCGCACACGTGGGTGATAAATGCCCTCTGCTTTTGCCACTTCTATAGTGGGGTGGTGGTTTATTGCTTAGTGCAAAGTGGGTCACTTACAGTTACAAGCACGATCTACGGTTGATGCAATTAGATTTTTTCGTGAAATACTGTAGATTTACTTTCACCTTTGTTGTGGAAAGTCGACAATCGTGATTATTATTGTAAGGCAGAATATTATGCCGTTTCGACTCTTTTAATCCAGGTACAGATTTAGAACTTCTTAGACTTCCATCAGAGCACGTCTATTCTACAGTCTTTTGAACAGGTTTTGTTTAGAGTTCTGTCTTTTCGCCAAATAAGCCAAAATGCATCTCTACGAAGACAGTACGCGGTCCGTGTATGGATGGGACGCTGTGGATGTGGAGATAAACGGAATGTTGCAGCACGGCCATGTCACCGGTCTGGAGGAAATTAAAGGAACTCCCGGCGTCTGCTCGTGGATTTCGGGTGTCCGACACATCAGGCAGTGCCGGTAGAATGCGGAAAGGTTTTCGACTGTTCCACAGAACCATCCCGGAGACCACGAGCGGGGGCTCCTGTGGAGGTGCTGCTGTTCGATCATCCCTGGAAGTGGTATCCCGGGAGAGTCCTCATTGATTCCTTTGTGGATTTGTTGGACTACGCGCTGGTAGAGGTGGCCGTGGCGGGACAGCGTACTAGCGAACTGCTTCCTAGCCGACAGATACGTTGCATCTCCTCATCAAAGCAACTCGAAGAAAAGCGTCTTCAACCGGGGCATTTCATTATGCGGACGTGCAGTGTGCCCAGTGGCTACTGGACTCTGAATCGTTCCTTGGCCGCGCAGTTGGTCCGCAACATTGAGCGCACCTTCCGCTTGCGGTTTTCGTGCATTCTCAGCCGGAAGATGCACTACCTGCAACTACGCGAAAGGACTCCCGTCCACTCAGCCACAATCGTAAGTTGTTTGCCGCAAAGTCAGCATGGTTATTGGCAATGGCTAATATATGGAGGACGTATCGACCATATGTGGTTTTTTTCTTATTGACCATATGTAATTTTTTAAAGGCAGATCTGGCTACGTATTTAATACAAGCAATCCGTGCTCGTCTCCAACCAATTTTTGATATAGAAATTTTTTTGAAATTTCGAATGCGAATAAGTTCCTGACTAGTAGTTCCAAAAACCGCTTCGGGTTATTGGGAATTAGACCGAAAAACGCGCTGTACAGTTCTTCTAGGCAATCAATAGCGCTAATTCCAAATTTATTGACAGAAATTTGTTCACAGCTTAAGCCTTAAATGTTTTGAAAGCAAAGTGGGTACCAGCTTAGTTAATCCTCTTAAAAACTGTGCAGAATGGAAAAACCTGTTTCTAGCTCTGTCTCTAATGCTCCTAACGCCCAAGGTGATTTTCAAGCGCCATTTTCACTTAGAATTGCATGGCCGACGACCATATCGAGTTTCAAAATCGGTTGCTATGTTGGAACAGTTTGTTGATTGACCCATGGTCAGATTTTATTATTATTGACAGTCTGGTTGACAGCGGTCTCCTGTAGCATATGGATCTTATTTTTGAGAACTGGAGACTGAGCATCGGTAAAGTACTGACATTTTTCCACTCTTCCATCTTAGATGAAATTTTTCCATGGAGCACGAAGGGACCTAGTGTGTTCCGTCTTAGTGCACTCCGTTAATTCACGCGGTGAGGAGGAGGAAGCGGTCGAACAAAAGCGGAAAGCGCGATACAATGAGGTGGGATGCGCTTTGGCGTTCCCTTTGAAATTTTGAAAGAGGTCTTTTTGTCTCTGGACACCATTGACCGGCAACGATGCCGACGCACCTGTCAACTCTGGGAAACCCTTCTCACATCGGCGGAGCTGTGCAAAGATGTTCGCGCTCCCTTTATCGATCGAGCCTTTGCACCGCGGTCGGTGAAGAAATGGAACGGGAATTATGCGGTATATAGCTGCCTGTTCAAGCATATTACTCCCACAGTGCGAACGATCTGCATCCACGATACACAGGTTTACAGCGGCGATAGGGAGGGCTTGAGTGAGGTTGATGAAGCCCTGAACTTGATTAAACGGGTTTTGGACAACGCCGGCATCCGTTAAGAGCGTGTGATTGTGCACCAGCGCTCACTGACGATCGAGCAATCGTTGGCGTTGAAAGAAGTGTTTGCCGCGATGGCCTCGTTGCATTCTCGGCTGGCGACAGGCTGTGACCGTTTAATCTGGAAAGATTATTCCTTGCAATACAAAAATAGATCTGTTCTAGTACTGGAATTTCGTGTGCCGTTTGCGGTCTTCATGCTGGGGAATTCTGACGAAGCGCAGATCTGGGACCTGTTTGAGAAGATTCTGTACTGCGACGGACCACCGCTGGATATGGAGCGAATCGCGCAGTGTGTAGCCAGTTCTACTTGCACTAGCTGGCTTGCAAAGGATTTGTTAGTCAGAAATGTACGTACGAGAATAATAACAGAGTATAATATTATTAACAGAAAAATAACAGCATAGAATACTGACAGAATAGTAACTTTAAAGAACTGATTAATACTAATATAAATAAGGAAATCAATATTAATAAGCTGACGAAAGATTTGCCAGTGTACTGTAGCCGCCCGCACAAGTTGCTCCATTGGCAGATCCGGCCGCTGCCTTCTCCCTGCACACACTGCGCTGAACAGCGAGCAATGTGAGGCCAAATATCCGTATACCTCACTCTGTGGGGCAACTTGTGCGGGCGGCTACAGTACTTAAAACGTTTAGTGAAACTGACCAGTTTCAGTTTGTGTTTATTTAGTAAACCCTTTGAACTTTTTCCGACGGATGTCAAATCTTTCAATTTGATGCTTTTGGGAAGTAACAAATGTACAAAAACGCTTAATGATAAACCAAGAGCGCTATTTAAGCTTATTTTATTTTCTGTTCCTGACACACCGTGAGTTTTTTTACTACTAGTTCTTTCAAGTACTACGATTACTTGTTTTTTATTAACATAATTTAATTTCTTCTGGTTACCCGTAGGTTCTCGAGACATTTCAGTCCTTTGACCCGCGCCCATCAACGCACTACCGTGGGGTCACGTGGACGCTGGACGCTATGGCCAGCGTGGACGTCCGCAAGCTGAACACGTTATGCCTGCACGTCTTGTGGTACCACGTTCGGAAACGGGTTGAAGCACCTTAAAGTAGAATTCGCCCAGGTGTAAACACAAGCGGCAGTTGTGAGTCTGAGAATTTCCAAATAATAAACGCGTTGTGTGTCCGCGCAGATCGTTGCCGATGCAGTCAGTGGAAGTACGTTTTTGCTGTAGTTACATCGAAATTCATCATCAGAAAAGCCCGAGCTTTTTCATTTAGCAGAATAAGTTGTGAATAACTGCTGGTATAAGTGCGGTTTCATGTAGCTGATTGCTCGAGTAATCCGCATCCGATGTAGTCTGCCAAAGTCTTTGACCTTATGGGCCACATTTCTGTTTCCTTTCTGAGGTTGTGCGTCCACTCTTGATAAGGCATAAGAGTACGTACTGCGCGCATGTCTGCTTTTATACCTTTCTCTTATGAAAAATTGTTACTTGGATTCCTCCCAAGTTTCGCTAACGTCAAGGTCATGCCTGGAACATTGCGCACCAAGCACTAAAATTTATTCGCAATGCAAAGTTTACAGAAATGATTAATAGCAAGCACTTGGGTTATGAATTTCGAAGCATAAACAACAACAATGTTCCATAAAAAAAGGAACGAACAGCAGGAGCTAAACCGAAGGTACTGCGGAACAATTGGTCTTTCGTGAATATGGATTTCAGTGATTTCGAATTGTTCTGATAAGCTGAGCGATAACGGCAGAAAATCAGGGATGAAAATGATAAAGCAAACCATCTCATCGACAGTTTCCTGTATAGCGCGTCACAAGAGGATGGTGCCGGTTATCAGTGAGCAATATATGCGTAGAGCGAAATATAAGTAAAATCATTAAAATCAAAATACTGCATACCGTAAAAATCGAATTTTAAGCTCTGGGCTTCAAAGTTGGAAGGCCCTGCGGAAGGGCTTTAATCACGGGCATGGGCTTGTATTTCGGGGGGCTGTTATATTTCAAATGTGTTTTATTGGCATGGGCTAATAACTTTCGAACAAGTAAAGTAAATCCAGTATTTGGAAATTAGTATTAGTTTAGAATCAAATATCGCATAAAAGTAATAACAGCATTCACTATTCACTGCATGTCAACAACTGAATTGCTTGAAATTACACAACTGTCGAAGGAACATAACCTTTCGCCCTTTCAGAAACACATTCAGTCGGAATCAGACTCGCTGCTAATATCCAGTACTCCCGGCCCAGGAAGACTGTCGGCATTTACATCGGTAAACATACAGTAAACATGAATAAATTTTGTGTTACAGTGCTCTTCGCCACATGCTTACGGAATGCTTGTTATCGCCTTATCGGAGTGCGCGGTAATTTATCAGACTGTTTGAGTTGCAAGAGTCCAACTTGAATTATTTTGTTAGAGGCACCGAGCGCAACAGGCCGGAAAATTGAAACTCAACAAAGTGAAAGTCGTTAGTGTTTTGAATTCAGCGCTTAAAATTACGTAATCTTCGCAACATAAAATTCAAAATCCGAGCGCACCAAGTAACGCTGCAAAATTCTTCAAGTGCGTGACTGTTGTGACAGGTGGCCGAGAATAGGAAGCTACGAGCAATTATAATTCTTTACTGAAATTCGTTGCTGTACCAATGTCAGCTAAACGAAGCCCTACTGTCTTGTTCTCACCGTGTGTGCTGATCAAAGATTCAACGGAAAATTGAACGTTTATGTTACGTGTGATTATATGTATGTTCTTTTGCTTGGTTTATGACTTGAGACCACAGGAAACGCGGAAGCGAAGCGCGGCCGTTTTTGAAACTATAACTTCACCGGTTTCTTAAACTTTGCCAACGGGCATTTAACCTCGTTGCAGATGGTGCTACCGCGGCAATATTAGTATCACACGCAGCATTGACTGTGACGAATGAAGGTCAATTAATCAATCAGTTATCTTTGAAAAGTACTAACTATAGAAGTAATCGTCAGTATAAGCACGACGCCTGAACAATAATTTTTTTCCCAAAAAAATCAAATATTCCAGTAATAATGCGCCATTTTCTGCCCTAGTCGTCGGAATCTGAGCTGTCGCTGACGCCCTCATCGGCAGGTGCTTCCGACCAGAACGCCATTTCGCGCCACAGGCCAAGCAGACACAATTTGTTCAGCTTGTTGACGTCCACGTTAGCCATATTATACAGAATCCATTTGGAATTCCGGTAATGAGCAGAGGAACGCGGATCGCAGGTTTGGCAATCCTTCAGAATCTGCAAAATCATTTCAGCTAACCGGAATGCCATTAGAAAGAGCAAAATAGTGGAACTCATGCGCGGGTTTGCGGAGAGCACTGTAGAGGAGGTCTATGTACAGTACGAGTGCATGTAGCACCTTCTTCACTGTCGACGCCCTCTCTCGGCTGTTAATCAGATTCGTTAGGCAGTGGGCCATACGCTGCCTGTCGACCGGCGGATGACACCGATGCCTTTCGTACAGCTCTATTTTTGGTCCAACACAGCACAGATGCTTCTCACACACATCCCAGATTAGCGCTTCCTCTACACTGCCGGGATTCATGACAGCCAATGGAATACGGAATTCCCAGAAGTTATCATTCGTACACTGATAAATCAGGCGGTGTTGCTTCAAAATTAAACAGTCACAGCAGGATGCCAGTGTGGAAAACAGTGCTGCCGTCTCGGCGAAAAGCGTTTTCAGCGGCAGTTCGGTTAAGTCAGTCAACATCTCGCGTTTGTGCAGGATAAGTCGGTCGATGCGTATGCCACCATCGTCCAAGATTTTTTTAATCAAGTTCATGGCTTCGTTAACCTTAATCCAATCGTCGCGGTCCTCGCAGTCTAGACCCCATTCCGGATCTTGCTGGCAAATGGTTCGCGTAGCGGGCGTGATGTTCTTGAAAAGGCAGTTATACCCAATGTATGGATGAATGGCATAATCGTCCTCTGCCTCTATCTGTACTCGCACGAATTTTCTCCACTCGTCTCCCGATGTCAGCACGGCATCCCACAGTTGACAAGTGCGTCTGCAGCGCTGTTGATCGACGGTGTGCAGTGAGAGGAAGATCTCTTTCAAGATTTCGACTGGCAGTGCTAAACCGCAATTACCTGTAGTTTGCCGCTTTTTGCGCTTTCGTTCGCTCTCCGACTCCCCGTCGTAATGAGAACGTACGCATTTCCCTTTCTGCCTTTCGAAAAGTTTTGCCTAAAATAAAAAAGAATAGAACACAGTTTTAGTTAGAGCTTACGGATAATTATGTAGAGCAAACAACACAAATTTAAGAAAAAAATTTTGTAAAAATATTTTTCTATATTTTTTTGTGAAACACAGTTTCCGGTTTTTTCTTGCCGGTTTACGCAGAATACAGTATAACTAACGTTCGATAAGAGACGACCCCATGCACTACCAAAACAACAACGATTTCGGGATGTGAAACTGGTCTCGTAGGGGACCTTACCACATCCGCATTATCCATTGGAGGCTCATCGCACCGCCGCACGTATTGCATCTCCTGGCTAAAGGACGCGCGTAGAGTGCAGATGAAATCTTTTTTCCACCTTACGGCACAATGCATCTGCTACAGACCGGTCCAACGTCCAGTACCCGTTAGGCACACGACACGTCCGCATGACGAAGTGTCCTGGTTGCAGGCGCTTTCGCTGTAGTTTATTCTGCGACAGTGATCGGCGGATTTGTTGGTCGGGAAGAAGTTCGCGCTGACGATAGCCGTTGATTTCCACTTCCACCAGCGCTGTCTTTTCCAAGTTGAGGAAGGACTTAATCAAGATCTTGCCCGGATACCATTTCCAGGGACCATTTTTGCTCTCGAACATCAGCACTTCCACCTGCGCTCCCGTGGGCGGGCGTTTCTTGGAGGTAGGGCGCAAAGAGCTGTCGAAGATCGCCCCTTCTTCCACTAGCACTGCATCCTGGGTCGGACAGCCGAAGTCGACGATCAAACGCGGCGTTGTTCCGTCAGTTTCTTCCAGGCCAATGACGTGGCCGTATTGAAGGAGACCGCCAATCTCCACATCCACGGCATTCCAGGCGTACAGAGATCTTTCAACCTTTTGCAGCTCGTACAGATACATTCTGGCTTATCTGGCTTTTGCCTAAGTAATAACAATAATTATATCAAAAGAATCTGCAATGACTGATAACAGAATGCTGTGTCTCTGCGTGATAATAAAGCAACAATGCATAATGCACACGCGTATAAGAATTGGCTAATACTATACAGGTTTGCATACCTATGGGCTATGTGTATATGAGTTGGCAACTGGCAGGCCTAGACTCCAACTCTGACTCTGATTCTGACCACTCAAACTCTGACTCTGACTACTCAAAGTCTGACTCTGACCACTTAAAGTCTGACTCTGATTCTGAAGGTTTCTTAGGTTTTTTACGTTTTCCTTAGGTTTTTAAGGTTTCTTAGGTTATTCTTCGGTTTCTTAGGTTATTCTCAGGTTATTTTTAGGTGATTAGGTTTCTTAGGTTTCTTAAGTTTCTTAGGTTATTCTTAGGTCAGAGTGAGACTTTGTATTCAGAGGCAGAGTCAGAGTTTGGACAGTCAGAGTCAGACTTTGAGTAGTCAGAGTCAGAGTTTGAGCGGTCAGAGTCTGAGTCAGAGCTTGAGCGCGGGCCCAACTGGCATCTTCTTCGCATGTTTCGCTGTGGCAGCACACCACGTCCGTAATATGAAAATTTGGTGGAATTAGATTCCAGTAATCGATATGCATTAAGTTTCACGGTCCGACATAATCAGCGGTAGGCATGAATTATCGAACTGCTCATCTCAAGATAGCACTGACTGATTGCGCCGCCAATGACTTAGACATAACATGAGCACACATAAAGCTACAGCCTGCACAGCTACCAGTGGCCCGTCGGTGAAATTTCTCAAGAATAATATTAGAGTATTGCTCTTAACTCTTAAGGTACTTGTGCATTACTAGGCCAAGTTTGCTTTTTCAGCACTGTTGACTATTTCCTGCATCGCATTGCAATTTGCATCTATTAAACATCTGCTACAGCAATTATGCAAGTCAGCGTTATGTGTACAACGTAAAATGAAGTTATGAACTGCGACATGGGATATTAGTTGGTTGCAGTAAATATTTTTTTGCGTTTACGACGTTTGAAATAATTCTTTGCGTTTTTGCGTTTTGCGTTTGCGTATAATAAAGCGTTTACGGACCCATTCAGGAGAAGTCCGCTCTCACGAATTTCTTCGATAGCGACTGTCTCTTGAGATACAACGCGGCAACGCCGCCTCTGTTTTGGGCACCATAGAGAGAGTGGAAATGTTTAATGAGCTCTTGTTCATTTAGCTGTTCTTAAACCGTGTACGCGTTCGGCTTGAAATAAAAATTAAGTTTTAATTTTTTGTTGACTATTGCTTCATCGGAAATAAATATGTTTTTTAACTATTCGTTTGAAAACCTCCACTTACGCCGCCGATCTGTAAAAATTCAATGCAAATTCTTATAAAATGAAGGTTAGATAACTTGCCGTTCAGAAAACCAATCATTAAAGCGAATAAGCCAAAATCTGTTCAGTGATAAACTGTTCAGTGATAAACTATTAATCATTGATATATCATTATTATAATATCATAAAACATTGATATCTCTGGAATATTTGGAAAGTTTTCATGCTGGTTCCTGTGATTCTGCTCGGGCTTCCGACAAATTTACTTGGGGGGAATGTTGAATGAACCCCAGGTAATTTGGGTACGTCGTTTCCTCGGTTCTGGGTCGACATCTTCTGTTCGATAGAACTTTGTTTCTGCCCTTGTACTTTCGTTTGCAGCCATCTTATGCCCTCGCAGCCGTTTACGTGTTCGGGATGTGGCAAGGAATTACGTGGATGGGGGAACCACAAAAATGCCTGCCCGAAAACTTTGTCCTCTACGCTGGAGCATGTCCCGATTGCCTCCACCGGCCCCTCCTCCTCGCAATCTGCTGGCGTCCCTTCACAGTCATCTTCCGAGACCGTCATAAATTTACTTAAAAAGGCGAGGAGCACGGGGAAAATTAACAAAGGAATCCCAAGAGCAGCCCGTGCACTAGCAGCAGAAACCTTTGCTAGAGCTATTGAGCAATGTGTGAAGGAACCCACCATTGTCAACTGGACTTCCCTGCTCCTGTTCGCCTCACAGTGTTTCGCTACTGATGGAGAGGTTTCGTCGAAGAAGAAAGAAACTCTAACCGGACGTTTTCGACGTCAGCTACTTGATTTTGAAAGCGGAGTTAGGTCCTCCCCTTGCAGCACCCCCGCAAGCCGTACCCGTGGCGGTAACCAGTCGACAGATGATGCAGAGCACCTACGCCGTATGGTTGAATCGTATATTAACGAGTGCTCTGTTCACAAAGCAGTTGCTCGCTTGGCGTCGGAAGAAAGTGTTTTGAAGATAGACGCTCAAGTTTTGTCTGTTCTGCACTCAAAGCATCCCGATGCTCCTATCGACACTGTTTTCCCCTCACCTAGCGCCATCGACATACCAGCATTTACTCCTGTTACAACCGCTGAAGTTATCAGTGCCGTGTTTAGCTTTCCCAGCGGCTCTGCAGGAGGTCTGGATGGCTTACGTCCCCAGCACATCAAAGATATGCTGAGCTGTAAAGATGCCGTAGAGTCTCCGTTACGTATTGCACTCTGCAAGTTAGTTAATTTTATCGTGGCTGGTAAGTTACCGGAGGAGCTAAGACCTGCTCTGTTTGGCGCAAACCTGACTGCCCTGTCAAAGAAGGATGGCGGCGTTCGGCCTATTGCTGTGGGTAACGTTCTACGAAGACTGGCAGCTAAGATTGTTGCTAAGCGGTGTGGAAAGAAAGCGATGGAACTGTTTACTCCCGTCCAAGTTGGATGTGGTACACGCGGGGGAGCAGAGGGAGCCGTACACGCCGTCAGAAGTTTCATTTCCGAAGGGATTGTTGGCCTACGAGTCCTGTTTAAAATCGACTTCCGAAATGCTTTTAACACTGTCCGTCGTGATGTTATGTTACAGTCTGTTCTAGAACATTTTCCAGAGTATTATCCGTTCGTTTTGAGTGCTTATGGGGCGTCGTCCGTGCTGTCATGCAGCGGCAGTGACGAGAACGTAGCGTCCGCCACGGGGATCCAACAAGGCGATCCGTTAGGACCACTGCTTTTCTGCCTCGTCCCTCTGCTTTTCTGCATTAGTTTGTCATCAAAACTGAGGGTGTTTTTCCTGGATGACGGTGCTTTGGGAGGCACAGTGGAAGAAGTGGCAGACGATCTAACAGCAATCATCGCCGCCAGCAGCGCCGCTGGACTCCAACTGAACCCTGCGAAGTGCGAGATGCTACTAATTGGTGGAAGTGCTGCAGAACGCGAGGTGGCCAAGAACAGGCTGCACTCAATTGCTCCCGGTGCGATTGTTTTGCAGCCTGAAACGGTTACGTTTCTTGGTGCACCATTAACTAATGAGGCTATGAAACACTCACTGCAACAGAAAACTGCCTCTTTGAAAATTTTTACAGAGCGCTTGAAATTACTTAACGCCCACCACGGATTCTACCTCTTGCGGAACTGCCTGTCCATTCCGAAGCTCATGTATACGCTGCGTTGCAGTCCGTGCTGGAAAGCGCCGGAGCTGTTGGATGATTTCGATAGACACGTTAAAGATGCTCTAGAAGAAATCACTAATACCAAGTTGGACGGACTTGTGTACACACAGGCAATGCTCCCTGTTGCCAAAGGAGGTTTGGGTGTGCGGCGTGCGAAAGCATTGGCTCCTTCGGCCTTTTTGGCTTCCATGCATTCGACTCGCCAGTTAACATTTCGAATTTTCAACGGCAACAGCGAACAGTTGGTCAACGATGCGTGCGAAAATTGGAAGTTGGAGTCTGAATGTGAAGAATTGCCGTTGGATCTGGCACGTGTTCACCAATTCGTATGGGATAACGCGGTAATACAAAAGGACGTCGACGTTTTGTGGAATAATGTTGGTGACGATAAAAGAGCCGAAGCACGTCTGAGAGCAGTTAGCACAAAGTACGCCGGGGCCTGGCTTAACGCCCTTCCCGCGAAAGTATTCGGCAACTTCCTGGACGATCAGACTTTCCGCATTTCTGTTGGCCTGTGGCTTGGCGCTAAGATCGTGGAGCAGCATTCGTGTGCGAGATGTGGTAAAGAGGTTGCGGAAAACGGATACCATGGGTTAGCGTGTAAGAAATGCATCGGGAGAAGGGAACGTCATAACGGCATTAACGATATCATATTGCGAGCGCTGTGTAATGCCGGCATTGAGTCATACCCGGAGCCCATTGACTTTTTGCGCGAAAACGGAAAACGTCCGGATGGAGCTACGCGTTGGAAGTGGTACCGCGGACAGCCCTTAGTATGGGACGTTACTTGCAGAGACACGATGGCGGATTCATACATTGATGCGCCCTCAAAGTGTGCTGGCGCTGCCGCCGAACTGGCTTGCCGGGAGAAGATTGGAAAATATAAGTCGCTTACTGACCGCTGTAATTTTGTCGCTTTTGCATGTGAGACTTTTGGGACTTGGTGTGAGACCGGCATTGTAACGTTAAAGGAGATCGGTAAGAAGTTGTTTTTAAGGACAGGTGAGAGTCGCTCTACTTGTTTTTTGTTTCAACGTTTAAGTTTGGAGATTATGCGTGGTAACGCTATGAGTGTTTTGTGCACGGTCCCTTCTCATGTTAATTGGGACAAATTCTTCATTTGATGATATTTGTTGAGCGAAGCTCGCCTTGTACATATTGAGAAATAAAGTCCAGCCAAAATCACAAGTTCAGTAGCATCACGCACAAAAAAACAGCAGTCGCTACAAAAATCCGCAAATATAGGGGGAAAAATGAGCCTAGCCGAACCAGTCCCTTGTACTTCTAATGTCAGCCGGCTGGTGTTTTACGTTGTGGCTATACATGGCGCTTATGTACCGCGCCTGATTTAACCGTATGTATTGCCGTAACGTCACACTCCAGGCGGGTGAAGGCATCAGTACAGGGAACCGGGCCGAGTAGACTTGTTTGTCCCCCTATATGCCGCAAAGAACGTATTTTTCGTATGCAGCCTATATGAAATTAGGTCGCGGTCGCCTGTTATTGGCTCGCATTTCATAGGCTAGAAACTAATTGGCATCACTTCCTTCTCCTCATTTGCGATAGTATTTCACAGATATACAGAGCAAAAGAACGCATAGCAGCAGAAAGTTAATGCCCTGCAAACCAACTACGGAACGTCGGAACTTTTGCAACAGCTCCTAATGGATTGACTTAATGAATAATGAAATATTTTTTAAGTGTCAAGTACTTACAGCATATGAAGCCTGACCTTGTAAAACTGACACAACACACAAGAGAAACCCATTGACCTTAGAAAGCAAGTACATACTGTACATCCAAGACGCCATGGAGAAACGAAGTACGACTTACCCGGGACGTAACATGCGCGGACACAGTTGCCCTGAGAATTAGCAGCAACACCACAGCAGGAAAAGCAGCCAGGACAGCAGAAGATGAAGAGCGTCGGAAATACGACTATCTAACAAAAGAGTAGCACATTTGTTCTTTTAGATTTTCAGACTTTCTGTATCGGTGTCCCAGCTTGTATGAAGTTTTTGCGCGAACTGAGCGCACGAATAAAGGTTGCTACTGAGGAAGGGCGCTCTTCTGAGTTTTTGCTTCAGCGTCTTGGCATTGAAATACTGTAACGAGAGTAATCAAAGGACCGCCTTGTTTACAGTGTTGTTGGTTTTCTTTACTGTTCATTGGTTGTTGTTTTCACCGTGTAACTGAGTGATTTATCCTTCTTTTTCTCTACACTTTTATCGGATAAATGTCTAAGAGAATGGAACAGACTTTTCATTAGAGAAAGACTAGAATGGATGCTTGCCCCGCTTGTTTTAGCTTGTAACTGCTTGTCCTGCTTGTACGCTTGTTGATTAAATGCCTGAAAACGACGTTGCTTTGGTTGACTCCTCGGAAGGATGCACACATCATCCCGCTCGTCCTTGACAATGTAAACCCACTTCCGATTCACTGCTGAGCTCACGCCTGGCAGTACCGACATTTCCATCAACAGCCGACACAACACCGTGGTACGGTCAACACGCCAGCTCACTAGAACGCCGGCATAAGTACTGCTCGTTTCCTGTGCCCATGTGTACCGTCTTGTCCCCACTATTTCCAATCTTGGCGTTTTGAAAAGTTCAGCAGATCCCAGTGGATCAGATACCCTTCTGACGATAACACATGGCGATATGCGAATCGCACCGGCTTTGTGTACCGTTATGATCGTAACAACAATCGTTTCGTACGAACCGAACAATCACCTCGTTACTGCAACCGTTATCGTTGTTTCCCCATCGATCTACCATTCCGGCCAAGTGAAATTATGTGGGATGGCAGTGCCGACATTTCCATCAACAGCCGACACAACATCGTGGTACGGTCATCACGCCAACCCACTAGAGCGCCGGCATAACCGCCCGCGTTATAGTACAGCGTGAAATGTGTTGTCCATAACGTCCAAGTACGGTCGAACGTTCCGCGTCCGGAAAGTCTTAATACCGTTTACTTTATTTTTAAATGTTTCTGAATGCTATGTTTAAAACTATTGCAGATAATCAAAACAGTAAAAATTGCAATCGGGCATGCTGTGGTCGCATCTGCAGGAAAGAGATAAAGAATCAACGAAAAGAATCAAACGAAATCAAGCAGGAGGAACAATCCGTATAGATTTTAACAGATTCGGATTGTTATGATAACTACAGAAAAGCGAAAACTCAGGAATGAAAGTGAAAAAGCAAATCATCCGATCGACAGTTATCCACCTAGCGCATCACACGGGGGTTGTGCCGGTGTTCGGTGAGCCTTCGTGGTCGTGGTCACGTCTACCGTGGCGCGGTCTGGACATTCATCGCTTCCCTGGCCTTCTTTAAGTTCTCTCCGCTGTCGCTTCCCTGAAAGTGCACGTTGCAATGCGCTCCACGTTTAACGCTAGCGTCTCGCAGTGCGGATGCTTTCCAAACAGGTCCACAATGTGCACTGCATCGAAATGCGCCCGGGTGAAGACGTAAAATGGGAATGCGGAACTTCATCAAGGGTGCGTATCGCATACCTCCCGGTGGTTTGTTATATCGTTCCAGATTACTTTACATCCAGGAAGTCCCCGTAATACTACTAATTACGATCATAGTCAATACATTAACAGCAGCGAAGCCGGAATCGAGCTTAATTGCTTTTTGCTTGCGGTGCAAAACATGTCAGTTCGTTAGATGTTCAAAGAAGTGTGATATGGATAAAAAGTTAACTGTTGTGCTTTGGAAAACAGCCGTTGGGAACGACACGATGACTCGTACTGCCAGCCTGCCAGAATCGGATTCACTGCCCGACAGAAAAGTGCTTTTACGGAACTAAATTTATCATGAATCAACAACGACCACCACAAAACCCTTGAAGCACAATATATCATAATATCACATTTATCGGTTTATGCATCGTAATCAGGATCTAGAACTAATCTGCTTTTAATAAAAGACTTTACACTGTTACCGATACATACGCGCCGTCATTATGCCTTCAGCGTCTGCATCGTTAAAAGACGGCATTACGATACAGTATCGTGGTGCAGTATCGTGGAATATAAAAACACGACGTCGTTTCGTTAGTTTACTGGACCGGTGTCAGCATTGTAAAAACAGTGCATCTGTTCCATTGTCTTTTCCGTAAAATGGGCCGTTTTCTGGACAAAGTACTACTCATTTCCCTGCTGGTTTATACGGGTGATTGCGGTGAGTGCAATGCAGATGTTCATGTAAAATCAGCATATACGTATACAGTAATCATCGTCAGTAGTTATTAAACTGGCGCATTACAGACAGCGCAGTAGGCTATCAGCAGCAGTGTCAAGAGTGTTATTTATTCTCAATGGTTTAGCAAGGCTTTACGATTCTGTGCGTCAATGTCATTATAATTTACAGGCATATAACAATGTTGTAATTGCAGGAACAAATACAATTAAAATTCCATACGATAGAGTCCAAATTCAAGTCTTTAGCAATCCATCGGATAGGACGCCGCTCTTCTATGCATCTGCCCCGAGACTCTTGTCATCTGCTCTGGTGTCCGCTTCCGTGACCGTTGAGCCAAATACAAACTGTCTGTTAGGTTCAGTAACAATCACTCGGGTGGAGGATGAATGGGCTTTTACCGGTTTTGCACGAGACCAAGCTTCCTGGCTCATGTACCTCCGTGTGCAAGCCAAGTTGCCTCCGTTCGACTTTAAATGGATGCTGGTAGGCTACTCAACCAATGACTCCACCCCAACGACCACAACCAGTGCTTGGCAGTTCCTGACCAACTGGGACCCGACGGCCTCCGTGCGCATTGCCTGTCCCAAGGACGCCACGTACAACGATACGATGTGGGACGATAGTGGGATTGTTGCATCGCGTTTATTTGTTGCTTTCGCAATAGACTCGAGCGTTCGTTCGACTCTACTGTGCATCGATACAACCCATCTTCCCAACAACACGATTGTTAACTTCGTTGCGGAACGGCTCTCAGCCGGGCAAAATCACGTGTTTATGTCCGCTAAGGATTACAACAGTTTCACTAAAACGCTCGTTGCAGGAGCCGTTGAAAAGTTGTTAGGCGAAAACGAGTTCGTTGAAGATGACGAAATGGAAAGACTGGAAAGGGAACGGAAAATGGAAGCTGTTTTCCCGTATAATTGTACCACAACCGCTAACTTTACGTCGGAAATGTGGGGGGCAACGTTTTGGTCGACTGAGCGTCCCGATGTCAAAGCACGCCGATTGGATGACGTTCTCAGGAGCCATCGTGAGTGGGTGCGGGAGAGGATGAATGGCACTAACAGTACAGCACCAATTTCGGTAATACTAGCTTATGATGAGGTGATTGAAGCGCACGAATTGTACTTCAGGGACAACGCGAAACGCGTTTCAGGGGAAGTTCACCTGAACGAGTTGACCGTGTATCGTGTTAATCTGGAAGTCTTCCGTCAAAATACGCCGATATGCATCGGGAATGTTACGGTTTCGACAAAAGGTGCCAATTATACTGCTGCGGTACCGGCAAATGTCGGCGAAAAAATCGTGTTCGATGATGGGATAATTATGTAACATGAACATGTAGGTTGCTGAATAGTTCAGGGACTTCCGCTTCAACGTAATAGATGAAGTAAATACGACTTCTCTGCTGATACCGTCGCTTTTGGAATGCTGGATGGTTAACTAACAAAGTCGGTTGTAATTATAGTAGAGCCGTGTTTCATCTTTCGTTTGAGCTTGTTCTTCGCCCTTTTTTGTACCGCTGGTCCGTAACTGGTCTGTTAGCATAAAAAGCAGAAGCGATTAATTGACTGATCAACGGTACCATTTGCACTGTTTGGATGTGTTCAAATTAAATAAAGTGATGCTGCTAGCGTTGCACCGTTCGAAGTTGGAAGGCTGCCTAAAAACTTTAAAAGGGTGTCAAACTGATAAATCTCAGGCGCGCCGTTCCGTCAGGACCTTTTTTAATCGTTTGCGGCATACATTAGGCCAGTTGACGATTCATGATGTCACACCAGTTGGAGATCAGTGAATGACGCGGATTGTCCATACTTTTGCTGATTTTTCGTCATAACTTGTACTGATAATTATTCTAATGTTTTATGTCTGTAATGATTTGCTGTTATGCAAAAACGGAGCGCAAATTTAAGGAATGTAAAGTAACTGCATTATACCGTAATGCATACCTTTTGAGTTTTGGGTATCTCACTAGCCTTTAAAAATGGTTCTCCAATAATTCTGACTCATGAACTGTTTACGGAAGCAGTGATTAGCATCCCAACAAGGACTTCCACCCCATCCCCTTAATTCCTGTTGGCTACATAGTGGCATGCCAAGAGATTCCAATTTCAATTTCCCAGAGCCGTAATAAAAGGTTACACTAGGAAACGGGTAAAACCAAAATAAAATGATGAGCATAAAATTAATATTAATTTTTAAATACATTTTATGCAAGGAACTAGGAACAATCTTCGCCTGCGCAATTTTATCAATCGTTTTCCCATTCCCATTACGAAATACCATTCCCAACAATTATGTAGATTCCCATTACCCAATACCATTACCAGTACCAATTTCCAATACCAATTGCCAAATCCAAATTCACAGGGTTTATTAGCACCCGGATAAATGTTCAGCCGATTCACGTTCTAACACGCACAAGCTGCATATCTGCGTATGTGAGTGTTGAATGCGCTCGTACAAGTGTGCGTGGCTGCACTGTACAAATTTCCGTCAAGTGCAGGGTTAGGGTATACATTATGTTTTTAAAACCATGTCTCAATTGCGGGAAATACATAATCCGGAGATGGCGGAGACGGGAATTTATGAGTATATTCTATGAACAACATTATATTCATGAGTTATATTTATGATTATGCTTATGAATTATGTGTTATGTTTTATGATCGACCGGAGCGCAGCGAAGGTCCTCTAATTCAGACGAAATTAAAAACTGTCTGTCTGTCTGTACGTTACGGAAGTACGAAATGACGTCATACAAGGAAGTAAAAACTGAAGGAAGGAAGGAAGGAAGGAAGGAAGAACTGAACTACATAAGGAAGTAAAGGGATGGTATAAGGAAGTAAAAATTGTTATACGAAGATGTAACGGGATGGTTTAAGGAAGTACTAATAAAAATGAGGAGGTGCCCGCTGGAACATCTTACCGCACCAATACTCTGATAATTAGATGGGAAGAAAATTTTACTCCAACCATTTCCCTGTATTGCCGCTGTCGCCCGCTAAAGTGTGATGTTACGGCAGTATATGTGGGTAAATCTGACTTGGTATGTACAGATAAGCGCCACGTCAGCCAGAACGTTACGCTGTTCGGGTGAAGGCAGTAGTCCAGGGAAGCGGGTGGAGTGGAACGGTTTTCTCCTTATACCGTATTGTTGCGTATTTAACCCAAATGCTTACAATGAGCCGCAAGTTCAAAGTACCGGCACATACATCAGTTAAACAGAAAATGTGTTTCGAATTCAGCGAAAGCAGACATTCGTTACCATATAACCGAATTTGGTACCATGTAAGTATTATGTACCAGGTCGCGTTTGCTCTCAGCGCCCAGCACTTGTACAGAGGGTTATTCAGCCAAGTGTGGACACTTCGAAAAAAAATTCCTTATAAATTTCATTTCAAGAGAAATGATGTCATAAGCATCTCAATACAACGACTAACTAATATGAATGCTTTTTGCAAATTTTGGTGAAAATCCAGCGTAAAATGCTCGCGATATTGTCTGTTAACCAAAAGACTCCGACTTCTTCCCCTTGACCAGTCAAAATTTGGCTTTCGGACACCTGGCCTTAAAAGGATCGTCTGTTTTTCAAATCTGCATGGTTTTAATTGTGAAAAACGACGATCCAAATATTTTTTATAGCAAAAACGATTTCATATTCTTGCGCGTTCTTGCGGTAGGACGGTTGGAAAAAACGCGAAAAACGGAAGAGACCCGCAGGAGCCATGCCCATTGCGCGAGCTCTTATGCACACAACTATAGCTATTCTTTCCGTCCCGTAGCTATTCTCAACTATAGCTATAGCTATTCTTTCTATAGCTATTCCTGGAAATGGTACCCCGGAACGGTGTTAATTGATTCTTTCGCGGACCTGTTGGACTATGCGTTGGTGGAGGTGACCGTGGCAGGACAGCGTACTAGCGAACTACTTCCCGACCGACAGATCCGATCGATCCCCACGCCGGAACAACTCGAAGAAAAGTCTCTTGCACCGGGGCACTTTGTTATGCGGACGTGCAGTGTACCGAGTGGCTATTGGACCTTGCATCGTTCCTTGGCCGCGGAATTACTCCATGAGATTGAGCGTACATTCCAGTTGCGATTTTCCTGCATTCTTAGCCGGAAGATGCACTATTTGCAACTGCCAGACTGGGGTCCAGTCCACTCTGCCACCATCGTAAGTTGGCTGCCGGGAAGTCAAGGTTAATGGCAATGGCTAAAAGAGATCTAATCGACCATATGTTATTTTGTATACACTGTCGATAGCGGCTCCGGTAGCCTGTGAATCTTATTCTTGAAATTTAAATTCGATGGTGACGTTTTTCGGTTTTTCTTACCACAGATGAAATTTTTCCATGAGACGAGAAGGAACTTTGTGCGTACCGACCAATGTCGTTTCGATGGTTCTCGAAATCCGGAGGACGATGCGGGTGAACCAAAGCGGAAAAAGCGGTGCGACGAGGCGGGGCTCGCTCTGGCGTTTCCCATTGAAATCTTGAAAGAGGTCTTTTTATCACTGGACACCATCGATCGACAGCGCTGCCGACGCACTTGTCAACTGTGGGAACAACTTCTCACGTCGGCGGAACTGTGTAAAGATGTTCGGGCTTCTTTTATCGATCGAGCCTTCTCACCGCGGCTAGTGAAGAAATGGAACGGTAATTACGCAGTGTACAGGTGTACAGCTGCCTCTTCAGGCACATTACTCGGGCAACGCGCACCGTCTGCATTCACGACACCGGCGTATTCTGCGACCATCGGGAAGGCTTGAGTGAGGTCCATGAAGCGCTGAACTTGATTAAACGGGTTACAGACAATACTGGCATTCGTATTGAGCGTGTGATTGTGCACCAACGTTCACTGACGATCAACGAACCGTTGGCACTGAAGGAGTTGTTTTCCTCGATGGCCGCGTTGCATTGCCGGCTGGCGACCTGCTGTGACCGTTTAATCTGGAAAGATCATTCCTTGCAGTACAACAACGGGAGTGCTACGATACTGGAATTTCGTATTCCGTTTGTGGTCTTCAAGCTCCGAAATGCGGACGAAGCACAGATTTGGAATATGTTTGAGCAGCAGCTATGCTGTGGCGGACCGGCGTTAGATATGGAGCGGGTTGCGCAATGTCTAGCCCCTGGCGCTATCACTCTTAAGAACGCACTGCACGTCCAATCGGTACTGTATCACAAGCGCACCTTTTGTTGTGACCTTGCACTGAAATAATGTGGCTTTTCAAACCGCGTCGTGGTTTTGTTACAAAGCAAATTCGGTCTCATTTTGTGGATAACATTTGATTTAAAGGCTTTTAAACACTGTAGAATTACAGTTACGAGCCAATAGAGACATGTATCGACTGTGAACGTTATGGTTATTTGCGGTGCTTCCTGATCCAGTAGTAACATAAACCGGGAGTAAATTTACTAAAATAAAATAAATTTGAAAATTAATTTTAATAAACAAAATAAAATGAAATACATGAATATTTTTAAATATTAAATCCAATCGAAATAAAACTAATTTACTGAAAGCTGAGTTACGATTTTCCCTTAAAATACAAGGAAATTTTATAAAAATGGCTTGTTGAATTAAAATTAATTTTTTTATCTGATTAGCCTGCCAACCTCTGTCGGCGAATTTAACTATTTTATTTCTACTCATTTGAAAAGTTATAAATGCATAGAGTACAATAATTTAACATTCGACCGACTGTTAAATAACGCAAGACTATTTTGACCTTTCTTCCTGATAGTTGTTTTTTGTTTTCCTAATACAGTGCCTTCTGTTGACTTGCAGATTCTTAGAAGGTTCCAGCAATCTGATCCGCGTTCCTCGGAACACAACCGCGGAGTAACAGGGGCGGGGAACGCTGCGGGCAGCGTCGACGTACGCCAGCTGAACAAGTTGTGCCTGCACGTCTTGTGGTACTACGTTCAAAAATGGATTCAAACATCCTGAAAGAGCCTGCGCCAGCTGGTGCGCGCGACGTTTCCGATTTTAAGGATCCTTAAGTACGTTGCATGTCTGCTTAGATCCTTGCCAATACAGTAGAACAACCGTGCTTCTACTCGTATTTTTGCAACTCACAAGTGTCTGAACACTTTGATTTTACCGGAATAAGTTGTGAATAGCAATAGCTTTTGATTTTGCTGCGGTTTTATTTAGGTAAGCACAATCAATTAGAGCCAGGTTTAATTTGCCAAAATCTTTGACCTTTTGAGTTTCCTTTTTTCTAACAAGAGTACTGCGCGGATCCTTAGTACGGGAGTACTGCCTTGGTATCTGGCCATGATCAACAATGATTCTGTAACTTCTGTTTTTCTCATATTTCTCACGTTAATTTTATTTTTTTTTATATATTGCTCACGAGGTAATAAAATTTCCGGGCAATGCGAAAGTTTACAAAAATTATTACTGTTTATTACACAAAAACTCCGAATTCCGGTCATAAATTCCGAAGGATAACCTTCTTTTCCATTACCTTACCTTTTATCATCATCCGCTGTGTATAAAAAAGAAACGAACATCAGGAGCTGAACCGGGTGCAATGCGGAACAGCCGGTCTTCCGTGTACGCAGATCACAACAATTTCGACTTGTTATGGTATTTTCAGAAA